GACCAGCTCGCCTGCACAATGAAAATGCGTAACGCAATGCAAAAATTTAAAGACAACCCTTACAATGCCAAAAGGCACCCCAGGGTCCCATTTTTCATGGTTGAGAAAGGCTGATCTACACTGACCCTTGTTGACTCACCTTGTGAGATCGCATCTCTAGCCAAAAGCTTTGTTTAAAGCAAAAATGTTCTTAACATTACATGCTCGTATTTGTCTAGGTGCTAAATTTTTTTTTATATCCACCTGATCCTCGGAGCCGCCTCCCTGGAGCCTCTCTCCCCCTCCGCTGCAGCGGTCTAAGGATCCTTGAATCATCAGGTCCTATAACACTGTATAGCGGGGCATACCATCTCTGCACCAGAGAAAGAAACACACTTCAGGGACCCGAGTAATAGGCAGCCGGCTTAGCGGTTTGGTTGAGTAAAACTTTTTTTTAGCACCTAGACAAAAAGGAGCACTTGACCACCAAAAATACAAGCAGTGGGGTTAGTCCCACTGTAAGGGTTAAGAACCAGAGTTCTGCTTTAAATTTTGGTCCTAGTAACCATTTTCACTGGGACAGAAATTGAAGGTGAAATCCATAGATTTACAGTTGTCACTAGTACAGGAGGGGAGAAGTCTTCTAATTGGGACATCTGTTTTAGTAACTAGTGTCAGATGAGATTTCTCATTACTTTTGAGAGATTTCATCTCACCTTCTGTCCTGTGGTGTCTACAGGAAAGAAAACAAAGGCACAAGTCTCCAATAGAACATAGACTTTAGTCAAAACTAAACATTTTTTGAACAGAGGTATACAATTGCTAAAACATATGTAGACTCAGACATGAATATTTAATATGTTGCCACTCATCAGCCCTTAGAATAGTTTACTTTCTCAGGCTTTTTTCCCTTTTTTTTTTCTTCCAGTCAAAAAAAGATGATAGAAAAGGTAGGGTTTTAATGGCACCATATGACAAGTCCAATGAACCACAAGATAATTTGGATAAAAATTATTATTTTATTGATTACAAATGCATACAAACGGCCATGTTTTCAGGCAGAGTATCTGGCCATCATCCACCAAGCCTTTCTCAATGACCTTATAACAAAAGAAACACTTGATTTTTTGGATGCAAAATTTGCACGGATACCTACCTTTTACTGCTTACCTAAAACACATAAAAGTCTAATTAACCCCGCAGGCAGATCGATAGTTTCTGGGGTAGGGAGTCTCACTGAAACAGCAAGCCATCTAGTTGATAGCTATTTACGGCCTCACGTTACATCTCTACCTTCTTATCTGAAGGATACCTTGGATCTACTTAAGCATGTGGATGGTATCATGATCCCTCCTGATTCATGGCTGGTTACAATTGATGTGGAGGCTTTTTATAGCAGCATCCTACATTCCAAAGGGATATCGCAGGGACAAGTCTATAATTTTGCCACTTTATAGATCATTGGTTCGACCTCATCTGGAGTATGCGGTCCAGTTCTGGTCACCAGTACTAAGAGAAGAGGTCCTTGAGCTGGAAAAAGTCCAGCGGAGGGCAACCAAACTAATTAGGGGTATGGAGGACCAGAGCTATGAGACGAAGCTAATACATTTAAACATGTTCACATTGGAGGTGAGGAGATTAAGGGGGGATATGATCTCCATGTACAAGATGTTCAAATGTGAAAGCAACATCAGCGACAAACTATTTAAAATTAACTCCATTACAAAAACTAGAGGCCACCACCTAAAATTGGTGGAAAAAAAATTCCAGCACAAGGGGCGAAGGGGGTTCTTCACAGTTAGAGCGGTTAGGGTCTGGAACTCACTGCCACAGACAGTGATTTCAGCAAAGAATGTGGAATTGTTCAAGAAACTTTTGGACGATTTCCTAAGGGACTGTAATGTACAGGGGTACAGGTACTCCTAAGAATGAGATCCTATAGGTTGGACTTGATGGACTAATGTCTTTATTCAACCTCAAATACTATGTAACTATGTATGTACAGGTGAAACTCGAATAATTAGAATATCGTGCAAAGTTCATTTATTTAACTAATGCAACTTAAAAGATGAAACTAATATATGAGATAGACTCATTACATGCAAAGCAAGATAATTCAAGCCGTGATTTGTCATAATTGTGATGATTATGGCTTACAGCTCATGAAAACCCCAAGAACCCCAAATCCACAACCTCAAAAAAGTAGATTATTACATGCAATCAATAAAACAAGGATTGTACATAGAACAATATCAGACCTCTGAAAAGTACAAGCATGCATATGTACTCAGTACTTGGTTTGGGCCCCTTTTGCAGCACTTACTGCAATTACTTTTGCATGATATTCTAATTATTCGAGTTTCACCTGTATATTTATCATTGAACAATTTCTGGAAGAACGAACTAATGCCTCTACTCTTTATAATAGGTTCATTTTGAACCTCTTGGAATTTATTTTGAGACATAACGTGTTTATCTTCCATGGTTCCCATTACCTCCAGGTGCAGGGCGTGGCGATGGGCACTTGCTGTGACCCTTCCTACGCCAACCTGTACCTGGGGGGATGGGAACGAGATCTCTTCCATCAGGAGGAATCTCTGTCCTTTCCTGGTATAGATATATTGATGATATTTTCATGGTATGGACTGGTACCAGGGAAGAACTTGAGCTTTTCTTTAATTCTTTACAAAGCAATAACTTCAACCTGAAATTTACCATGACATGTCATCAAGCATCCATTGCCTTTCTAGATGTTACAATTGGGTTAGAAGCGGATGACTTAATCCAGGGATGTCCAAACTCCGGCCCTCCAGCTGTGGTGAAACTACAAATCCCATGAAGCATCTCTCTCCGGGAGTCATGTCTGTGGCTGTGAGAATCTTGCAAAGCCTCATGGGATTCGTAGTTCCACCACAGAAGGAGGGCGGCAGTTTGGACATCCCTGGCCTAATCTATACGAGTCTTCACAGGGAGGAAACAGTCGGCAATACTATACTACACGCATCAAGTGCTTCAGTCAGCTTCACTGACTGACATAGGGGTGTGGCACCAGTTACTCAGGATCTGTTCACAACATTCTCTTTACACTTTATTTTCTTCCAGTAATTCTGCAAATAGCACACAATCCCTCAAATTCATATAGAACAGGGGTTGGAAACTCCGGCCCTCCAGCTTTTGTGGAACTACAAGTCCCATGAGGCATTGCAAGACTGACAGTTACAGGCATGACTCCGAGAGACAGAGGCATGTTGGGATTTGTATTTAAAGCACAGCTGGAGGGCCGGAGTTGCCCACCACTGATACAGACCGTCTACAACACTCTAGCATTTTGCATCCATACGGCAAATGTCAGTGCTTACCCCAGATTCATGTACCTGTTGGAGACACTATATCCTGAGTGCAGCCCACCACCTGCCACATCTGCTGCACCAGTCACACATTTCATTAAGATTTGAAACTGAGTCAGAGAAGCCGATTGGGTACAGTGCAAATCTGCGGGGTCACCGGAGATGTGCTGTGTCACCGGGGATGTGCGGGGTCACCGGAGCTTATTTGGTGTCACCGGAGATGTCCGGGGTCACCGAGGATGTGCGGGGTCACTGGAGATTGTTTGGTGTCATCGGAGATGTGCAGGGTCACAGGAGATTGTTTGGGGTGACCGGGGATGTGCAGGGTCACCGAGGATTGTTTGGTGTCACTGCAGATGTGGGGGGTCACCGTTGATTGTTTGCCAAGCTTCAGTATCTTGCTAGTCGGCCCCACGGGCACTCGCAAAACTGTGTGGATGGAGGAATCTCTCACTGGGCCAAGCTTCAGTGTCATGCTAGGTGGCCCCACTGGCCGTCAAAATACCTTAACAATGCCTGCAGCCAATCAGATTGTTTAGGTATTTTGAGAGCAAGCGGGGCCGACTAGCAAGATACTGAAGCTTGGCCCAGTGAGAGATTCCTCCATCCACACAGTTTAGCGTAGATGGAGGAATCTGTCTCACTTTTTCCATCTGGCCATAGAAAATCTGCAGATAATCTATAGGTGTGTGGCCAGCTTTACAATGACTCGGCCCCATTCACTTACCAATTGGGGGACCACCGAAAGTAGGCAAAGGGGCAGGGATGCTTGCTGACATCATTACCCAAATATGGTTCATGGCCATATTCGGGTAATGATGTCAGCCAGCATCGCCGGCCCCTTTGATTACATTCAGCTGCCAGCTGGGGATGCATCATATGTTGCTATGGTGCCAACAGTGTCCTAGCAACCAATGAACCCTTAACAGGAAGCTGTCAGATTCATGACAGCTTCCAAGCACATACATACTGCTGACTTGGAATGTGTCAATGGTTGCTAGGACACCAGCGGTGTCCTAGCAACAACTGATCCCTCAGCAGAAGCTGTCAGATTAATTCCATCACATACATACCCCCTTTCTAATCTGTAAAGTGGAGGTAATAATTTTTTAATCGGTTGCAGCCATAGCGACAAATATTTAAAGTGGCACTATTAGGAACGACCTGAATCTCGCAAGTGTTGGTAAAACTGGTGACAGTGCTTTTTTACAAGATTTGGCACAGGACCTTTAAAAGGCAATATTGTGCTAGATGATCGTATAATGCACCCACCCACAGAGGACAAGCTTATACAGACATCGTGGCTTCCATGCCTTACACTGATAAGAACTAATAAGCATGTAAGGAGGATAAATGGCTGTGTGTTATACACTGATTTGTGCTATGAACCAGCGGATCTGCAAGCTCCTTTGGCCTCTCGGACATCAATTTGCATATCCCCGCCCACTGCCTTAAGCGAAGGACTAACCTCTTGTTTTTGGTTCTGACAGAAGTGACGCTATATGAATAGGTCACATGACACGGCTGCGCTCCAGACAACCAGCAACGCATGCGCCGTGCGGCCTCTCTGCGTCATTCTCTATTATCCTCCCTCCCTTCAGCGCCTCTCTCCCGCCGTCCACGCCTAGACAGCAGCGCTGGCTCTGCGCATGCGTAAAAAAAGCCCATGCGTGGCCCGCCAGCTCCACCTTCTTTCACCCCCCTCCTCCCCTGCAGCCGGCCGGTCGGTCGCTCCCTCCTCCCCTACAGCGGTTGATATGACGTCACCGCGCTGCTGATCTCCGTTTCGTTGACAGCGCGGCGGCGGCTGCCCATAGTGCCCGGCGGAAGGGATAGGCAGGAGAAGGTGGCGCGGGACAGCGGCTCGGCGGTGATACAGCTCTGTGACAATAAAAGGAATTATCCCTAAGGAGGTTTCCTGCCGCCCTTCGTGCCCAGCCCTTCGGCTCCATTCTTGATTTTTTTTTTACACACTTGTTTTTCTACGTTGTGGTTTGTTCTCGCCGTGTGTCAGGAGCGCCTCCAAACCCCCCCCAAACCCTGCACACACCGCCCTTCACAGACCTTCCTGAGGAGGCCCGGGAGCGGCCATTGCTCGTCACCGCGCTCTGCGCTCGGATGTGTCCTCCGGTAAGTGCCGGCCTTGTTCTTTGACCTGCTGCGGGGGTGACCGGGAAGGACGGAGCGGCGGGTCGGGCCTGGTCCTGACGATGTGGCTGCTGCAGCCTCCTCCTCCCCCTCCTCCCTTCATCTTCTTCTCTCCCTCTCAAAATGGCGGCCAGCCGTTAGTGTTTCCACACTACAGAGGGGCTGCTTGGGAGGAGGCTGTGGGGGCCCCGCTCTGTGCTGGGAGGGAGGCTCGGGGGCCCGTTCTGGGCGAGGCATCGCCTGCCATGACTTCATTAGTATGAGGCGTGTGATCGGGCCACATCTGCAGTGAGTGTGTGTGTGGGGATCTGCTGCATCACTCCTCTCTGGGCGATCTGCAGCTGCTGAGGACCTGTATTCATGGCTGGTCACATCATCATCCCATCTATGGAGTCCATCCGGGATCCCCCCTGAGTCTGCCATAGACTGGAAGTCTACATCTCACCTGTTTCCCTTCACAACATCATACATGTCCCCATCAGCTGCAAGATCTGCTCACTGTTCTACAAGAGAAGCTGAATGGGACCCTGATCCAAAATAATTCCTAGCATTGGGGGGGGTGGTCACTATAAGATGAACATTTGACAGGTCTAGTGACACATTTGGGTTCATGCACACGGATGTAAAAGAAAACCCTACAATCAGATCATAGGCCTGTGTACACAGCTGCGTTGTGTTTTGGTAATCTTGTGCTGCCTTCAGCTGCATATTTCTGTGAAATAAACACATTTCTGAACATACATGGTGAGGCTGAAAATCAAAGGCATGGTAGAACTTTACCGATATCAATGTTTACGAGTCTAAATACGTGTCAACAGGAGAACTTTACCGACCATTATATGCATTTTTTTAATGCAGGAGCCTTCCACCAGCAAAATCATGTGTGGATATCGGTATTTTATTACACCCCTTTGCATGAACCCTAATAATATTATTATACAGCTCTTGTATAGCGCCAAGAGTTTGTGCAGCGCTTTACAATGTAAGGAAAACATTACAATCACAATTCAAGACAAGATGGTAAGGAGGTCCCTGGCTGCGAGAGCTTACAATCTAATTATGGCTGGTCAGATCATCCCTTCTATGGAGGACATCCTGGATCCCCCACAGGGTCTGACATGAACTGGAAGTCTATCTCTTGTTTCCATTCAGTTCCAGAATGTCATACAGTGTCCCCTGAAGCTGGTAGATCTGGTCCCTGGAAATCCCAGTATTAGGGTACTAGAGAGGCCAAAGCGGGCCCTGATCTGGTGTATTGAAAATAATGCCCGGCCGTGGAGGGTCTACAGATGACTAGGGATCATTAGAAGCTGAAAACTTGAGAAGTCTAATGATACACGTATGTGATAGGTTGATTTTTCCGTCACATATACAAAGAGTTGGAACAAAAGTCAACTGGTCAGCTGAGTTAAAAGTGGACCAGTCCGATTTTTAGGAATCTTTTCTCGTTTGGCGGCTATTTTTCTTTTGCGCCAGTTCTTTTTGTAGCAGTCTTTGTTAAAGCGCCATGTGAAGCCGGCCTTGCGGTAGGCCCAAAAAGCCATCCCTGCATCTGGCCCAGTTGACAGTAGGTGTGCTCCATGCTGGTACTGGAGGAATACAGGTTGCCCATAGCATCCTTCTACCCTGAGCAAGATCATAACTCTCAGGCAAGATGAGGATTTTTCTTGTCTGATTTAATCTGCATGTTATCAGGCCTTTTGTCCCCCCCATATGATCTGTACTAGTGCCCAAGTGTAGGGGGCCCTTTCAGACTTGCTGATGGCCATATGTCACCTGAAGGAAACTTTGTTGCTGGGTGGCATTATGCCATTTATTTCATGTCATGTACAGAGAGATTGTGAAATGTTTCATGTCATGTAGCTGTAGAACAGGACACATTTGTGTCAAGTGACCACTTTTCTCTTTCCCTTTCACTTAATGTCAGATATGAGATAAAAGAACAGAGTGTACACCTGATTGGTCTTTATTTTGAACTATCTGTTTGTATGTAATGTTGGTTCGATATCCATTTGTCTTGGAGTCAGCAGCTAAAACAACATCCATTTATTAAAGCCAGATTAGATCATCCTAACAGCTGGAAGACTTGGATGCAAGTACCTACCTACCGGAGTGTGTTCCTTCTCGGTGCTGGTGATTTGTTCCCCAGCACATTGATTTTGGATGCATATAGTCAGAAAAATCCAGCAATTGGGAACGCTTGATGTAGCGGGGGGATTTGCAGTAATCCACACTGTTGCTTGTATTGAAGATGACATTGTGGGAGGCGTGGAGTGGGAGATGGCTGAATCACTCTAGGTGTGTGTGTGTCGTGCACACCCTTGTTTTATATATTGCTTATATCACCTCTTTGTGAAGATGATGCTGTGATACTAACCTCGGGATATACAGAGCAAGGATGAATCCTTATTCAATAAATATTCCAAGATCAATGACTGTGGAGGAAACCTTTGCTTTCAGCCTGTTTTCTGCAGGCGTGATAAATGCTAAATGGTGCTAATAAGAATGAAATCTAGTCTGTGATTTGTGGCGGTCGGGGGGAGAGAATAAAAAGATTTATGAGACGGTGCTCGTCTGGATCTTGTTTGTGGGAATCACACAGATGGATGCTGCGCATTGACAGTGGAGACTGGGTGGAGTAAGGAGGCAAAAGCTTTGCAATGGCTGTTATCAAGGCTCCTAGAATCATTTCATAGCATCTCTGGACACCTGCATCATAGTGTATAGCATTTCTAGTCCTATTTGCTTGTTTCTGTATTTGGAAGGATTTGTTCTTTCAGCTGATAATCATTGTTTCATAAATTGGCGTTAAATGCATATATAACTGCAATGTGAAAAATGACAAGTCATGGTTCGGGGTTGTTTAGCTAGCTGCAATCTTATTGCACTTGTTGAGGAGGGATTTTTTGTTTTCACATCACATTGCACTGTTCTGATTTTGGAGACATTATGAATGCTTCGGTTTTAGACCTATTCCTGGTTTAATAACTTTTCTTTGTTGTAACAATTGTCTGCTGTGTGCTCAAACAGAATGAATGAGACGGTTTGCTGTGTTGGATTGATCTAGTTGGGGGTGAACTTTGTCTTTAGTTTTAGTGTACAGTGTTGGTGTGTAATGTTCAGATCCACTTCCTGGGTGCCCATGGACTTTATAACAATGCTTTAATACAGTGTGACATGCTCTTTGTGAGGTGCCTGTACAAAGGTGCTTTTCTGCTGAGCTTTTTCTTCTTTGTGTCGCTGCCTCTTTTTGTGTTCCCTTTAAATCATTTACCTATTTTGCATTGAGATGTTTTACCATTGTGCTAGTCAACACATGTCTTCTGTATTTAAAATAAACGTGGCAGTGCTTTTTATTTCTTTGAAAGTCATGTTTGTTACAAACTTCTTAGATTTAAAAAGCATTTGTTTTTTGTTTAAATAGAATCCTCTTTATGCTGTAATAACTACCTTTTTAAAGTCTCACCTGTCTGGTCCACTGGTATCTGTTTATAAATCCAAACTCTTTGTCTCATTGCATGCCACTCCTACAATGCAGTGCCTGCTTAATGCTTTGAAAGTTCTCTATTGCATCATTCTGAAGCTTTGTTTTAAATCTGACCAAATTAAATATTGTCATCTCATTGTGTATCCCTGTCCCAAATTTACTGCTCGTTGAAACCTGTTCTTATGCCATTATGTTTTTTTAGACACAAAGGAAGTTTGACACCTGCTCATCGCATGTGTTCTTTTTTTCCTGTGATGTTATGCATCAGTTTGGCTTTGTTTAGCTGCTCCTGTGTAAAGCATGTGAGCCCTCCCAGTCAAATCTTCTATTGTGGGCTCTTGTGTATAGTGAAATAAGGAATATATCTTTTGTGCTATTCTCACATTCTATATCATTCTGTTGATAAACACTGAATACCTTTTTACTTTTTAATATTTATGCATCATTTTTACAGCAAATGCTAACTAAAGCACATCATTCCTTTTTATATGCTGGATATGCAAGCTCATCTGTTGTGCTGTTTCCAATTAGATAGCTAAAGGAAACCAGCGATTTGAATAAAATAACATGCCGTCGCTTTAGTGCATCAATATGAAAATGAATGACTTTTGTTTTATAGTAAAACATAGGGGCTTGTTCAGCATGGCAGCTAAAAGAGCATTGATGTGCCAAGTACAGTAATCATTGCCAACCAATCAGAAATGATATCAGATGTACCTGAGAAGATGGGTAAACTTGATGGGTTATGGGTTAGCTATTTTTACTCTGCACAGCTTTTTTAAATGTTTTAACAAAATGCTTTTCATTCAGGAAATGGTTGTTATAAGGATGTATTTGGGATACTTTGTAGCTTTTGATCAAAGATTTGCTGCATTTTATTGCTGTCGGCTGTATTTTTTTACTTTATGTTCAGTTATGCACAAGAATGAATAGTTTAAATCTGATGTTGCCCAGGTAAACTCATATTTTGTGGTGAAATCTGTGCTTAGTTGGCCTGTATTTAGGGCCTTGATGAGCTAGTTGTGAAATGTTACTGGTATTTTTTGACGAAAGGAAGCTTAAAAAAAAAAAAAAAAAAGTGTACCCATTTTCAGGATGCATATAGATGGGTTTGTCAGCAGTTGTTAACCCTGTAATGTTGAACCTTGGTTTTACCATCATTAACACATACATTGCCATCAAAGGTGTGTAGTATTCTATGGCATCCTGACAATCTGGTTTTTGGCAGTGAATCCAAAAAACGTGTACTTTGAGAATTTGGCCGTTTACCATAAGGGGGATGGCAGTATATACAACTCCACCCCCTGAACAAATACATTTCCTGTGTAGTCCTCAATGGAATGCACACTTGCTTACAGTCCATTGACATATTTCCAGTAAATACTCTTCTCACATCAGATTGCACATCAAGCATAGTATGGTGCAGCTCTTACAGCTTTGCTTTTTTATTTAACATGTTGGTATTCTCAATGAATACATAACTATATAAAGCACA